AAGATACGGGTGTTAAGCTTGATACAGCATTTTGTTAGGATCTGCGGTTAACTTCGAGAAGCTACTCACTGTGCATATGAGTAATGCATTTTTTCGTAGATATAAAGACCAAGATGTTGTGGCAGTTTGTTTGGTCGCACTGTTCGTTCAATGTATCCAAATTGTCCGACTTGTTTGTGTTGTCAGGGCAACCGAGGTGAGCGCACCTTGTACGAAGTCATTTAATATATATTTTTTTAACAAGCAGAGATTCGAGGTGATTAAGGACTGGTAGTAGAATTTTCCCACAATCATATGAGTAGAGCTGACGCTTCTATTCAATTTTACAGAGACTTGCTTTCCCAAAGGTTGTTCTCATCCATGCTGAAGTGAACCACAGTTTCAACACCCCCAGCTGGAGTCGACCCATGACGACGCAGCGTGTAAGTTCGACACATTAACCATTCTGCCACATTGTTTCAAGATGTGAATTTAAAGGAAGGTCAGGCGTTTTTGGTGTCAAATTCTTTGATGGAAGTGTCGATCAAGCACACTTATATTTGCTATAACCATCGCATACATTACTTAATTTTCGTTCATAAGCAGATGTTTGCACCCTATTGACACTCCCAGCAAAGGATATGATATGGGAAAATGCCCTACCTTCCTTAAAATACACACCTACCCTGTGACTGAGTGGTTACTGCGTCAAGCCCACATTCTGCATTAGTATGATTCGGCAGTCCACTTTGCATGGATGAGAACAACTTTTGGGAAAGCAAGTCTGTGTGAAATTGAATGGAAACGTCAGCTCAACTCATATCATTGTGGGAAATTTCTACTACCAGTCCTCCATCAGCTTAGACGAAATAGGGTGAATACATTTCATACATTTGCATCATTCCCAATTTAGTCGCCCCGACGACAGGACCAAGTTGCGGACACGAGGTCAGGCAGCTCCAATGTATTTTTTCGTTCATAATCAGTCGATCATGTATGTGACTGGCATTCAGCCCATTTTGTCTAGGGTGATAAAGAGACTGCCAATAACTTTTGGGAAACCATGGCTATGATAAATGCAATGGCAACTTAAGGTCTACTATTCATACGTTTTTGGTAAAATTTAACTACCAGTCATCTTAAATGAAATAGGCTGAACACATCTCATCTATCAGCAATTCTAATCATTCCGGGTTCGAGACGGTCTCTGGGTGCTGCGAGGTCGCAAATGCAGTCCTTTGCGAAGCAGGTTTGTGTGAAATACAATTGCTTATGGGAAACTTCAACTGTCAGTACTTCATCATTTTATGCGAATTTAGGCTCAGAGTACGGCCTTTATTTGGTATCGAATGGCAGTTTGGAAAACCCACTCAATACGAATACGAGAGAATCCGGCCAAAGCGGTCTAGTTGTTATCCAAGGAATAGCGGTTGTCATGTTGTTGCTTTTGTGTTGCCTTGTGCCTGTGGGACTGAGCGAAATGTAGGCCTGTCAGATGCTTCGTCTGTAGACGGCGACGGTTGTCGCTGGCTGGGGTGAAACTCATCAAATTCCCGTCAATGTCGACGAGATTGTGCCGGTGCTGGCGACCGGGTGACTCAAACTGGGCACATTGGCTGTCTGACTTTTGATTGGTCATCGCCCAACTGACCAATCAACGCCGGGCAAGTTGATTTCATACTCTTCGGTTGGCCTTGCAACTGGGCTGTCTCGGACACACAGTCGGCCAGTTGTAATGTGAATAGCGGAAGTACTGTTGTTCCAGCGTCGAAATGGCTCTTCTCATCTTCGAATGCGCCGCTCTGTGCTGCCCTCACCGGGTGGATGTAGCCTGCTGCCTCGGGCCCATCGTCGTGTAGGGTGAATTGTGTGAAAATGGCCTTTTCACACGCCGCTCGGCTGCTTCTCGCCCTCTTCACAGTCGTCACGTCGGGCCGTTGGGCCGCGGCAGGCCGAGTTCTCTCGGGCCCCGTGTGGACGAGAGGGTTGTGCAACCTGACGGTGAGCGAAAACCTGCCACAAGGCAGCGTTTTGCCGTTGCCCATCCTCCTGGCGCCCGAGGAGACGCTCGATTTGACCCACAACAACGCCTATTTCGGCCTACTCACCACGCCCGACAACAACACCACCACCACCACCACCACCAGCGGAAGCGGTAGAGGCGAGTTGGAGCTCGTCTGGACGAGCCTGATCGAGGAGGGCGTCGTGGCGACGACTCGACTCCTTCCCAGTCTCGTCACTCTCAGCCCGTTGGACAGAGAGTTTCTCTGCCAACGGGAGCCGGAGTGCGATTGTCGCTATGGCAACAGTCATCCGGACCGGCGATTTGCCAGTGGACCGATTGACGGTGTTGAACGGCTGATCTGTCGCCTCGGCGTCGACGTGATCATTCGTCCGATTGACAGGG